ACATACATAATTACATACATGCATACGTACATACATACATACATACATACATACATACATACATACATACATATATACACATGCACGCGCACACATGTACATACATATGTATAACTAACCAAGAAATATATTGTTACGTATCTATTTATACATGTCTATGTAAATATGTACACGCAGGCCTCTATATATTATACACAGAAATACATACGTGTGTATATTACGCACACCATCCTCCCATCCCTGCTTCCTTGTGTCTCGCTGCCGATACACCGGAGCGGCCATGGGAGGTGCCATACCTGGCTCGTCTGCGCTGTGTGTTGCGTACTGCACACAAGCAATAGCAACAATAGCACCAACACCAACAGCATGAAAACCAGCAGCAGCAGCAGCAGCAGCAGCGGCAGCAGCAGCAGCATCAGCAGCGCCACCGCCACCACCCCCACCACCACCGCCACCGCCACCACCCCCACCACCACCACCACCACCACCACCACCACCACCACCACTACAACCACAACAACAACAACAACAACAACAAGAACAACAAACGTCAACATCGCAAAACATGTCTCTTGATTGATCTCACGCTGTACTGCTACATACTGTTTCTGTCAAACGAAGCGCTTCGGGCTCAGTGAGAGTGTTGGATCTGGCTTTGGCTTTTGGAATCTTCGTGCCTCCACTGACTCCAGGCGGTGGGCCCCAGGGCCTGCGCAAGGCCACTGGAAGATCCGCGGTTTGTTGTCAGGCTCGGTGATTGAATCAGAGCATCCGCAAGAAGCTTACAGATAGTCTTAAGCATAGTGCCTTCTGTGCGCCAAGCATCGGACCCGTTCATCTTCTTGGCTGGGGCCTGAAGATGTTGCCGCTTTGCGACGCGGTGGGCGGCCTGGCAGATAAAGCATCTAGTTGGCTATGAACAAATATGCAAGGATCGACATGAATACTAACGGGAGCTTTGATGTGTCTGTGCATACGAGCAAAGAGAAATCGGCACACACTGACATGTGTTGCTGTGTGTGAGTTGAAATCAAGGGTATCGGGTCTCCTTAGGGCTTTGAGTTTACCAAGGGCCTCATCTGGGCTAATGAATCTTGCGAGGAAGCTGGAGCAGCTGCAGAAGAACTTCGCAACCGCAGGTGCGACCTGAAGATGTTGCTCTCCATTGGCATTCCAGGCCTTGGCTGGTGCTGAGTTCTGGGATCCACCCTGCGTTGCGGAAGTCTCCGGGCGCCCTGCACAAAGGGTCCCGGAGCCCAGGGTGGCCCAGGTGGCCCAGGTGGCCCAGGTGGAGGCGGACCAGGCGGAAGGCCAGGAAGATGCGGCGGTGGTCTGGGCCTCGGCCCTCCTCCGGGCCCTGCTGGGCCGAAGATGCCCGGAATCCCCGGCGGCGGAGGGCCCGGAGGGCCAGGGCTAGGGCCGAAGAAGGGGCCAGGGCCGGAGTGCGGAGGTGCCGGGCCCAGAAACGGTGGAGCACCTTTGGCAAAGAAGCTGTCAGTTTGAAAAAAAAATGCCATCATGAGTTACGCGAGATCTCCTTTCACTGCCACTCTTCTTACAAGTTCCTACAGACCTTCTTCTATCTTTTCGGGCCAGTGAATATCTTCCGACTCCAAATAGAAGCTCGTCTTTGCAGGCCCGGCCTGTTCCACCGAGCATGCCAGCAGCACGTGGTGGGACCTTGTCAAACCTGACGGTTTAGGGTTTAGGGTTTAGGGTCTAACCTGAGCAGGAAATGCCGGGGTTTCCACCCCTCATGAGGCCCTCATAAGTAGTAGGACCGGTAGGACCGCTTTGTAGTCGTAATTTTTGGAATGCTAGAGCAGGAACCTTAATGTTCGGAAGCATAACCGACAATGGCATTCCCTGACGGATCACTGCAGATCATCAACTTGGTAGATGCCACTACTGAATCTGAAGCACAGAGACAAAAAGAGTTTAGGGTTGAGGGTTTAGGAGAGAAAGAGAGAGAGAGAGAGAGAGAGAGAAAAAAAACAACACATAAATAAATAAAACAGTTGGGGCACAAAAAACACAAACAAACAGATACAACAACAGGAACTTCAAGCAGTCCAGGAATCACTCCCGGCAGGTGGTAAGGCCCGAGCTTGCTTCGGAACCAGGGCTCATTCCCATATTCGAAAGCGACCTGCGCAAGGAGAGCACTCGTGCCGTCACAGCCACATGGACTTGTAAACCCAATATGGCCCAGGCAATGTAACTGAAAAACATGGGACCTTGTCAGTAACCCCTACTTATTCCGTTGCTGATGACGCTACCCTCAAAACCTCGCACTAGGACTTAGAGCGCGGTTCTTCCAGCAAACCCCGCAACCCTAAACTCATTCTCTGAGTTGGGTGGTGAACATCCGCGGCATCACCGCTCTACCTTTGGCTCTTTTTTCTCTCCTTGAAAAGCTCCAACCACGACCTAGCCCGATGGAGCTCCACGTTCTCCGTGTACGAGCTCTGAAAATCTTTGCACATATATGTACACACACATATATATACACATGTATATTAGCTTTTGTCGAAACATATGAACTGAGGGAAATCGGAATAGAATGCAAAATCTCTCTGTATATATATATATATATATAATGTTATACTTGAAGGGCAGCATCACATTGGGGGCCGTCGCTTCTCAGCGCATCATTGGGCAAGCCGCTCGGGGATCCTTTGGAAGGAGTTCAACGCATCAGCACCGGATCCTCAAAATGACTTTAGGGTTTAGGGTTTAAGGT